AATGCGTGCGGATTTCAATACACAGAGGCTTTTCTTTGGGCGTAATTACCCACACTTCCGAAAAGTTCTCCTCACAAAAAGCGTCTCTCTCACAGAATTTGGAATTTTAACGCACCATGTTTGTGGTAAGAGTTTTCGGCGCTTTAGACTATCTATCAGTCTTCATCCATTTTAGTGGTCTAATCGCCTTTCATGAAAAGACAGCTTTGGAAAAGAGAGCGGGGGGTAAGAAATTTTTGAATGGTTTAATCGCCTTCTATAAAAAAGGAGCTGTAGGAAGAGAGAGAGAGAGAGAGAGAGAGAGAGAGAGCGGTAAGGACTTCCTGAGTTCGATTCAGAGAGACCTTTGCAAATATGGCGAGCAAATTTCAATGCAGCGTCTCGAGGTGCGTGCAATGGCGCGCACTTCATAGAGAACGACCGGGTCGATCTTCTTATGTTCCCCTGTCCTGACGAAGCTGAAGCCAGTGGTCCATTCCCAGAGGGTGGAACACTTGGCTGACCTGGAAAGGAGTCGACCCGAGATCTGAGTCCTGGACCACGGAGACACGAAGGACTGATTGATACCTCGTATGCCATTCTTCCCCTGCATTTTCTGGACCACTTACTTCCTCCTTTCATCAGTGGTTCCGCTCCGATGAACTTCTGAATCTGTTCCACTTGGGCCTTTGGTCCGGCAATCAGCGATGTCCCGGTATCAGCAATGGCCTGGCAACCGTTAGTACAAGCAACAGCTGATGATCCACCTTGCACCTGATAGATGAGGATTATGAATAATTCAAAAGAAGCTCGGAAGTAGCTAGTCACCATTACCATGTCCATTTTAAATTGCCAATAACCTCGACGAGTCACAGGAGTCCATGTGATAGGATCAACATAACGACGAGAGTCCATACCACCCAATGTGATTTCACCACCAATTTCCGAATCAGGATTTCTTAAATATTTGTCTTACAAACTTCGGCAAACTTTCGTCATTGTAGCCTGTGTCATAGGATTGCGCTCACCTGTTCAACCAGAAAGAAAATACTGGACTCGGAACCTTCTTCTGCTCGACCAATGTATGAAATACAGGTGACACTCCTGAATTACACAACTTCAATGACAGATTTCGTTCATTACGTGTGGACGGCTCCACAAATTTCGCGTCTAAAACTTGTTCACTGGAAAAAGCTAGACTCCAGTAAGGGCGCGCTGTTGTTATAATCACAGTGGAAGGGAGGCCGTATTTGACCGCGAGGGAGTGGGGGGGGGGGGTCGTAAGCGCAGGGCTCATTCTGAAGTGGAGAGAGCAGCGATACTCAGATGTTATACAGCTTGAATGATGAAAGATTCAATCCATTGTTCTCCATGTGCAGAACACTTGAAGGGACATCTGAAGAGAAAAGCAACCTGCAAGCTCAGAGCTGGGGAACAGGCGATAACAAGTAGTAAGGTGGCCGCCCACAATGGCGTCGTAAATTAGCAAACAGATAAAGCACGTACACGTTCGCATTTCTGATTGCGGGAGCACATCTCCTTGCACGGGGAAAGCCCTGTCTAGAAGTTGCACCTTCCCATCACCTCCGGGTGGGGGCCTCATGCATGGCGCATTACATAGGTGATCACTACAGAGTTGATGCCAACGGCGCCGAACAAATAATTTCCTGATACCTCGGCGAAAATCTGTGCTCTAGAAGCATGAGAAAGCCTTTGACCAACTGGAAGTGTGGTATTGCGGATGGGTTTTTCGTGTAGTC